TTTTGCATCAATGCCGACAGGAGCATCCATAGAAGGAGGAAGAAGCCGCACCGCTATTGATCGGAATCAGTAGCTCTTCGTGTAATAAACAGAGAGAACCTCGCTCAAATTCCTATTCCTACACAAAACACAGCTGAAGCTTCCGGAAATTCTTTAAGTTTTCTTCAATTTCCTTGAAATTATTTGAACTGCTCTTTGATTATCAGATCTGTATTGATATATTCAAAGCTTCCCCAAAGCTCTCAATTCTCGGAAATTCTCTGGACTTCTGTGAAGTTCCTGAAATATTTCTGAAGTTTTTATAAATTCTCTGATGGTCTCTGTACTTTCCTGAAATTATTGGAACATCTTAAGGGTTCTCAATTTTCTTTCTAAATTCACGATTATAGATCTTTAAACTGCTCCAAAAGTCTGAATTAAAGTCATGGGATCTGCTCTTAAGATCTGAAATTGCCCAAAGATCTCTAGATCTAGCTTTTCTGAGGTGCTTAGAACTTTTGAAAAATTTGCACAATACCCATCATGTTTTCTTTATTTCTCAAGTTTGCTTTACACCTATGATGTGCTCTGAAATTCTAGGAACTTCATAAAAGTTCCTTAAAATTTTCGGATATTAAAAGAACTGATTTGAGAATCTTAAAGCTTCCAGTATATTGCCCATATTTTCAGTGTGTTAAGGGGGTAGTACACTTTGAACGTCCAAAAAGTAAGGCATTTTCGTTATTTTTTTTAAGCAATAAAACACTCAGGGAGGGCAAATATGTTATAACCCATTTATTAGTCATCCTTCCAACTACAATTTGTATTTTTTTTGAACTCGATTGGCGTCTCCCCGTGGCCAGTGCACCAGGTCGCGCGGAAGTCGGAAAACGGCGTGGGAAAATACTCCTTTCCATGTGATCTTGGAACATAAATTGAACAAAAATCCTGATTAGTAAAGAAATTTGGGTTAGAAATACGTATTCCGATTTTTTTTAAATTAATTTTTTCAAAAGTTGTGGCCTTAGGAAAAAAAAGTCCATTTTTTCACCCTAAAAATGCTTAAAAAATCGTGGATTAAAAATCTATTTTTGACAAAAATCGAAAATGTGGATACGTATTTCTAAGCAAAATTTAATTCTGAACAAGAAAACCTAGGCGATATCCAAATTTGGCGATAACTGGTTAGAGCTATTTCCGCCAGTTTGAAAAACCCCGTTTCGAGATAAACGCGTTTAAAGATAAAATTGCTCTTTCAGCGCGCCGGTACATGTTTTAGGAAATCGCTTCGTAAAGTGGTAAGGAATATTCTGGCGGACCTGGAGTCTTTTTTAAATTAAACTATACATCCCAAGAAACATTTTAAGCCAAAAAAAATGCATTTTTTTTTTTAAAATCAAAGTGTACTCCCCCCTTAACTTCGCTTATGTTCCCGCAGTTTGTTTATGGAGCGTCACTAAAATTTTCAGCATATCCTTTCATTCCTCAGAAATTCTTTAAAGTTCTTAATTACGAACTGGAAATAAATCATTTATTTGTTTTCCTTAATTCAGGCACTTTGAAAATTTTAAATATCTTGAACTTGTACATGGAATACGAAACTTCAAGACATTGAATATTTTTAGATCTTGGACTAACTTATTTTTAAATTTATTAAAGTGAGAAATTAAGTGAGTGCTAAACTTTAACATTCAATGAATTTGATTGTTAAGCTGTTTCTTTAAAACTGATTGCCATGTCTTTAAAACGATTGGGTTAATTGTTTGGTTGGTTGGTTGGTTGTCTTTATTAAAGAGATTTTCAGCCAGACGCTGGATCATCTCCGGAGTGTTTGGGTTAATTACTGTTGATTTTGATCTTACATATTTTGAACGCATTTAAAAAAAAAAGCTTTCTTATAAGCCTGGAATTTATCCATTCAAATTCTGAAAAAAAAACCTGGAAAACTCAGGTAATTTTATTCAAAAAATGAGTAGACACCCTGTAGATAGAGAAAGACGGTTAAATGTCACAAAGCTTACAAAACCCGAGGAGAGAAGTTTGTCCAAACCTTGATAGCAGGAGTCATGTCAAGTTTGTCCGAAAGTATGGGCATGAGGGTGAAATTTAAATCTATCATTGTAAAAGTGTAAAGGAACATACTTGAGGAAAATAAATGTTGAGAGAAAGATTTGATTGGATTTCTGTTAAACCTATAACGTGTTACCTTCGTGTGATGATACAAAATTTATTTCCGGACACGCTTTACATGAGAGTGAGTCAAGGGTCACCATGCGTGGATTGATTGCTGGATACTTTAATTTTGTTTCAGGCTCCGTATCTCCCGATATTAAATTTTTACGTTGTTACAATTTGCGCCCAATTGTGCTGCGTTTACAAACTTTCCATCAAGTCAATAACAAACCTTGCACTAGTTACAATTGAGCCGCCTCATTTACCACCATTCATATTGACTGCCTTTGTTTCTGCTTGCATTTCCTCCCCGCAAAAAAAAACCAAACGCGTTCAACGCGTTCACCGGCAGCCATCAGCACACGCAAGGAGCAACTTTTCCAATCGCTTGCCACCCATCGCAATGTGTAGGTGTATGGTTTGAGCTTTCCCAGCTAAATTGCTTCATTCTTCAGCAAATATCCCGTGCTTGGGCAAAATATTCTCACCGGAAACCACCTACCTTACATGCCAATGAGAGTAACACGTGCTGCAACGTCACCACCGCAAGGCAATCACAACGGCTGTAATCATTCCGGCTTGGCTTAGCTGCAGCCATTTCCGCTTGTCGGGAAAAAAAATTTCATGGAAATTTTCAACCATTATCCGGACGTTTCCCACATTTCGCATACATGTTCGATCGGATGAAAATGTACAATTTCTTTTTTATTAAAGTTCACCATCATGCTCCGAGACCGGTAGAATGGTCTCGTTAGAAACGTCCCACGCATCACATCCTTGTGCCGAAATCAATAACCTCGAGAAAACGAGTCCCTGCCCCGAAGGAGGAGAGCTAACGAAAAATTATGAAAATGGTTTTAAAGGAATTCGCCTCCCTGTCCCGTCCCCCACCCGAACGAGCATCATCGTTTTGAAATCCCCATAACTCGCTGCTGGGGGTTGTTTGAATGTTTATTTTTAACACGGCATGGAATCGCATTGAAACCATTCAAACATAATGTGGTAGATTAAAATTTGTGGGCAGAAACTTTTTCCAACGAACCCTAATGATATGGCACGGCATTCGTTCGCTTATCCGTCCGTGCCCGAATACGAAGTGGGTGGGAAAAGGGAAACATCGCAACGCAAAATGGGAAAATTCGATCTTGCCGTTTCCGATTGCTTGAACCTGAACTGCTGGTTGAAATTTGTGGCTCGGAAGTCGAAAAAGGCTATTGGGCTAGACAATTGAATTCCGGGAGACTGAACACACCGACCGGGGAAGGCGAAAATTAAATTAACTTGGCTCTAAAGTTTAGTGTTCTGATAAGGGGAACCTCACTAGTCAGGGTGGTCAGCTGTTCTATGTGGTTGGTCGGAACAAAGTTATTTCGGGTGGAATGAATCTACTGGGAAAGGATTTAATTTGCCTAAGATCATTTGGAATTGGGTGCTTTGAACTGGGTACTTTGCGAGATTAGAAAGTTGTTCTGTATAATGGGAAATTGTGAATTGAAAAATATGAAAGTTACCGACCTTCCTATTCCACTGTGACCAACTTGGTGGTCTTATGGTGGTGCACCACTCGATTCATCAAAAGACGACAACGAATTCTACTATTACTTGATTAAATGGTCACAATCTGAGATATGAATGCTAATATTAATACCCTCATTCTGAGGGTGACCTGAACAGCATTTATCTTCTAACTGAGGCTTATCGTGAACTTCGCGCTGTTAGTAAAATTCCAACAACCTTCCCCACAAGCAACGACCGAAATATCCAAAGGCAGAGGATCCTTCACAGCAGCACCACATCACTGCAACGACCGATTCATTCAAATTCCATCATACTCTTGAACTCGTAGGCTTAAATGGTCCTGTTATCAGCCTGCTCTAGGTGAACGCCTATTTGAAGCCTTTGACTTGGTTGGAACCGTAACCATGGTAAATGCCTATTTCCCACATCCGTGTAGGCTGACAAATTGCCATGCTCCAGGCAAACGCGCGAAAACCACATTCACATTGCTCTCGGTGTGGATGCCAGGCTGAATTTTGGCTGATAAGGAAGATTAGAGTTACTTAGTTGCTAGTTAAGTTTCGCTTCGCTTTCTCGCCATCTCGGGTAGGAAGTGCTAAAGTAGGTGTATATAAATGTGTGAAGCCGTCACTTGTCTGAAAAGGTTCTGTGTCTTATTTCCTATCAAATTGTTGATTCAAATCCCGATTCAAACAATTAAATCCCAAGAACGAGCAGCTGCTCTGCTTTGGCACGGTCAAAATATGGACCATGAGATAGAGCTCAAGGATGGATTAAATGGAAACGGTTCTTGGATCAGAAGGATTTTGAAATTGCTTCCGGCATAGTCTCTTCAACTGGCAGAGCAGTTGGATCGATACTGCTATCCGCTTTCATCCATGGCACGGACAATAAATCATTCAAGAACGACTTCCTTATGATCCCGATCAGCAGTGCTGCTGGTGCCATTCTTGGCATATTCAATTAGGTTTTTGCTAACTCCCATTCTTGCAGCATGCTGCTTCCTGGATACTGTTTACTTATACCACCATCACCTCTAGCGCCAAAGCTGAATCAACCTGGCAAAAGTTGATGTACGTAGTTAGTTCATCGCCGGGGGTGCCAAGAATTGGAGCAACAGCAGCCCAACCCGACACGCTTTGTGTTGTTTGACTTTTTGTTGCTCCTTGTTTGCCATTATGATCAGATAAATTCTCTATCCCCCTCCCCGAGCGGGCAAGCGGGTTTTCTACGAGCAAAATCCTAGTTCCCCTACTAATCCAATTCCATGAAATATTGAATTTGAGATTAATCGATTACTTTTTCTTGTCGCTTTTGTTTATCTTTTGCAGGATATCCTGGGACGCTAGGAAAGCGTGAATCGTGAGCAACGGGACAGAAGTTTGAAGGTAAGGAACAGAGGGGAATCAGGTTGACTTTTGAGATCGGATTAATGCTGGAAACTTACTCAGAGGGTGGGGTGGCTGATGACTTTGGTAAACACTTTAAATCCTTTGATACAAGGCCTGAAAATGGAAGATTTCGAATGATTCTGAACGAGTAACAGATGTGAACTTTTGTAAGTTTTTTTATGGCATATTTTTTTAAGGGTGATTAATTTGAATTTAGCCTATGATACTGTTTATGGTCTGAGGTGAAGTTTCCAACGGTTTAATACAAAATAGCGACGGTTTTTGTGCCGAAGGAGGCAAATCCGTCAAATTCGTCAGAACTTCGTCCAAAGAAAAATTCTGGACGATTATGAAGGGCATAAGCTCCGGAAAACATGGAAGTTCTTCAAAAACGACAAGGATTTGAAGAAAGAGTGGATCAAAGTGTGTAAGAAAGATGGCGCAAGTGTTGCACAGAATTTGATGGGTATCGTTAAGTCCAAGGTGCGGGCATTTAGCCTAGGAGAGGAGGTTGAATAAACATACTTTGAAAAAACATAGTTAATATATATGTGTTTATTTATTCGCTGAGAGATTCAAAAATCTCCGACTTAAAATTAATTTTTGGTGATCATTAATAACGTCTCTGTCATAAGGATGACTCACAATGGTCCAAGATCATCGCAATCATGAATTAAATTCCAATATAAAACCGTTAAATTTTGGCACCACTAAATTATCGGGTACTGTATTTGGTTCATTTGCTTTATTTTCATTATATGCTCTAGTTGCCTTATTTGCTTTATCTGATTTTTTTGCTTAATTTGCTTGGTTTGCTTGATTTGCATTATTTTCTTTATTTGCTTTATTTGAACAACTTGACTCATTTGATGTACTGGATTTACTTGATTTATTTGATTTACTTATTTGAATTGAACGATTTTTAAGATTTATTTGATTTCGTTGATTTATCTGATTTACTTTATATATTTGATTGTCTTGATTTATGTGTTTTTTTTAACGTAGGACAACGTCTGTGATTTCTATATGAGGGTACACTTTGTGAAAACCAAAAATGGAACATGAAACGAAATTATGAAAGATTTTGACCGTTAATTACTCAGCTGCCCCTGGACCAATTTCAATAATTTTATCACCAATCAATCAGAAATATGTCTACGTATCTGCTATTAAGAATTTATCATTTGACATTATTGAAAATTGCACGAATGTGCAACTGTTGCTATGATAATAAAAATTATCATGAATTGCCTGCGAGAAGCGATTTCCCTAACACAGATTTCAATGTTGAATGCTATCCGGTCTCACCAAACGGTGTTCAACCACCGCGTGGTGAGTGGTGGTGTTCTCCAGGACACAATGAAAGGCTCTTCGCAAGCAGCTAGCTATCAAGGCTTCCCTCAGCCGCTGATCGGATTCAGTTCTAATCACCGTGTGTGGTGGTGTGTGGTCGTCGGCATCAGCAGCAGCAGCAGCAGTGCTTTCGATGCGTGGCTTTGAACATTGTTCTCGAGAACACAACGAAAGGCTGCCTGCAAGCAACGAGCTGCAGCCCACATGACCCTCTATAGAAGGAGGAAGAAGCCATACCGCTATTGATCGGTGGGCCATCTATGCCAAGCGTGTCATAATAAAGAGTACAAACAAAGAGAGCACCGCTCATATTCCTATTCCTACACAAAACACAAGCTCCTGCTGCTGTTAACAAATAATATTTATTATGTAAGACGACGTAGTCTTACGTCACCATTGCGTAAAACCCCATAGAGCTGTCCCTTGTAGTTTTTAAATTTTAATTTATTTGTTTGATTTATCTGATTTTTTTTATATATTTCCTTTTTAATTGATATTATTTATAAGAATTGAGTGGTGTTACTGATTTATTTGATTCATTTGCTTTGCTTTTTTGATTTTAATGTTTAATTGGATCTATTTTATTTATTTCATCTCTTTGATTTATTTTATTTATTTTGTTTATTTTATTTATTTTATTTATTTTATTTATTTTATTTATTTTATTTGTTTTATTTATTTTATTTATTTTATTTATTTTATTTATTTTATTTATTTTATTTATTTTTTTTATATATTTCCTTTTTAATTGATATTATTTATAAGAATTGAGTGGTGTTACTGATTCATTTGATTCATTTGCTTTGCTTTTTTGATTTTAATGTTTAATTGGATCTATTTTATTTATTTCATCTCTTTGATTTATTTTATTTATTTTATTTATTTTATTTATTTTATTTATTTTATTTATTTTATTTATTTTATTTATTTTATTTATTTTATTAATTTTATTAATTTTATTTATTTTATTTATTTTATTTATTTTATTTATTTTATTTATTTTATTTATTTTATTTATTTTATTTATTTTATTTATTTTATTTATTTTATTTATTTTATTTATTTTATTTATTTTATTTATTTTATTTATTTTATTTATTTTATTTATTTTATTTATTTTATTTATTTTATTTATATTATTTATTTTATTAATTTTATTTATTTTATTTATTTTATGTATTTTATTTATTTTATTTGTTTTATTTATTTTATTTATTTTATTTATTTTATTAATTCTATTTATTTTATTTATTTTATTTATTTTATTTATTTTATTTATTTTATTTATTTTATTTATTTTATTTATTTTATTTATTTTATTTATTTTATTTATTTTATTTATTTTATTTATTTTATTTATTTTTTTTATTTTATTTATTTTATTTATTTTATTTATTTTATTTATTTTATTTATTTTATTTATTTTATTTTTTTTTATTTTTTTTTTTATTTTTTTTATTTTTTTTATTCATTTTATTGATTTTATTTATTTTATTTATTTTATTTATTTTATTTATTTTATTTATTTTATTTATTTTATTTATTTTATTTATTTTATTTATTTTATTTATTTTATTTATTTTATTTATTTTATTTATTTTATTTTTTATATTTATTTTATTTATTTTATTTATTTTATTTATTTTATTTATTTTATTTATTTTATTTATTTTATTTATTTTATTTATTTTATTTATTTTATTTATTTTATTTATTTTATTTATTTTATTTATTTTATTTATTTTATTTATTTTATTTATTTTATTTATCTTATTTATTTTATTTATTTTATTTATTTTATTTATTTTATTTATTTTATTTATTTTATTTATTTTATTTATTTTATTTATTTTATTTATTTTATTTATTTTATTTATTTTATTTATTTTATTTATTTTATTAATTTTATTTATTTTATTTATTTTATTTATTTTATTTATTTTATTTATTTTATTTATTTTATTTATTTTATTTATTTTATTTATTTCATTTATTTTATTTATTTTATTTATTTTATTTATTTTATTTATTTTATTTATTTTATTTATTTTATTTATTTTATTTATTTTATTTATTTTATTTATTTTATTTATTTTATTTATTTTATTTATTTTATTTATTTTATTTATTTTATTTATTTTATTTATTTTATTTATTTTATTTATTTTATTTATTTTATTTATTTTATTTATTTTATTTATTTTATTTATTTTATTTATTTTATTTATTTTATTTATTTTATTTATTTTATTTATTTAATTTATTTTATTTATTTTATTTATTTTATTTATTTTATTTATTTTATTTATTTTATTTATTTTATTTATTTTATTTATTTTATTTATTTTATTTATTTTATTTATTTTATTTATTTTATTTATTTTATTTATTTTATTTATTTTATTTATTTTATTTATTTTATTTATTTTATTTATTTTATTTATTTTATTTATTTTATTTATTTTATTTATTTTATTTATTTTATTTATTTTATTTATTTTATTTATTTTATTTATTTTATTTATTTTATTTATTTTATTTATTTTATTTATTTTATTTATTTTATTTATTTTATTTATTTTATTTATTTTATTTATTTTATTTATTTTATTTATTTTATTTATTTTATTTATTTTATTTATTTTATTTATTTTATTTATTTTATTTATTTTAGTTATTTTATTTATTTTATTTATTTTATTTATTTTATTTATTTTATTTATTTTATTTATTTTATTTATTTTATTTATTTTATTTATTTTATTTATTTTATTTATTTTATTTATTTTATTTATTTTATTTATTTTATTTATTTTATTTATTTTATTTATTTTATTTATTTTATTTATTTTATTTATTTTATTTATTTTATTTATTTTATTTATTTTATTTATTTTATTTATTTTATTTATTTTATTTATTTTATTTATTTTATTTATTTTATTTATTTTATTTATTTTATTTATTTTATTTATTTTATTTATTTTATTTATTTTATTTATTTTATTTATTTTATTTATTTTATTTATTTTATTTATTTTATTTATTTTATTTATTTTATTTATTTTATTTATTTTATTTATTTTATTTATTTTATTTATTTTATTTATTTTATTTATTTTATTTATTTTATTTATTTTATTTATTTTATTTGTTTTATTTATTTTATTTATTTTATTTATTTTATTTATTTTATTTATTTTATTTATTTTATTTATTTTATTTATTTTATTTATTTTATTTATTTTATTTATTTTATTTATTTTATTTATTTTATTTATTTTATTTATTATTGATAATTTGATTTTTTTTATTTTTTTTATTTATTTTATTTTTTTTATTTATTATTGATAATTTGATTTTTTTTATTTACTAGAGTAGTATGATGAAATTGATTTATTGGTTTTATGTTATATCCTTGTTTTATTCGTTTTGTTTACTCTTTTGCATTTATTTGATTTATTTTTCAATGATTTATTTGATTTATTTGATATCTTTAAATTATTTGATGTTCTAAATTATTTGATTAATTTGATTTACATGATTTCTTTGTATTATAAATTTTTGAAAAAATTTACCATTTCAATTGAAAAACTACAAATACATACCTTTAGAATTGACCTATTGAAACTATAACAATGGGA